GAGAAAAGAAGAATAAGAAAAGAGGAAGAAGGAAAAGAATGCAAAAGAACTCAAAATCACACTATTAACTTGCGACCAAAAAACTGGTCACTCCTTCACTCCCCGTTAGGACCCGCCAGCCGAGTTCAGCAGGGAGGAAGGAAACCTACGTCGGGGTTGAGTCTAGCAGTGGCCAATCGGAGACTTCCTGACACACCCCAAGTTATAACGATTATTACATTACACCTTTAATACAAAAAAGAAAACAAAAAACAGTTGAGGTTAAATAGCAGGCATTAAGGCCACTTTAGAAAAACGTACATTTCAGTGGCAGCATAGCGCACATTCGGACCAAACATCTGCCCCGCCATCCTGGGCCGAGTGTTGGGAGCGCAGGGTCCCGTGGAAGTCCAACAGCAGTACGGGCATGACGACTGTCGGAGGACAGCAGGACGACCTGCGAGTAGGCATACGAAGTAACACACCAAACTCTTCACCCCGCATTCCCGTCAGTCAGCCCAGGTCAACAATAATTCTGTAGTGTATGATTAAAACAGATTAATGAGGCACGAACTGAACCACTAGATAAAGAACAATTATAAACAAAGGTTAGAGGTTGAGTATTCATGTTAAGGAAAACGGACCGCGGTGGAAGCAACCTATAAGAATCGCATCCCGATGGCAGTACAAAATACACTAAGTCTTAGCTATGAAATCCTCAGCCTGGGTCCAGTGGTGGGGGTACTGGGCATCCCGGGCTCCCCACCACAGCATTGAGAGGTTGTTGACCGACAGGAACCAGGATAACCAGCAAACATGTAGAGTTATCCCACACTCCCGTCAGAAAGCCCACACCCCACACTCCCGTCAGTTAGCCCAGACCACAACAATACCGTGTTGTACTAAAAGATCAGATCATTAAAGTACAGACTGTTAGGCTAAATTTGGGACACACAGCCAACTGCATCCGGGTGCAAGCTGGTAGAGTCAGCAGTGCACGGGTACGGGTAGGCCCAACTCTGGGAATAAGTAGCTCACGGTTCAGGGAATAAAGGGTTGGCTGACAAGGTGGAAACCTGGAGCCTTCTGGGTAGTGTAGATCGTGGTCTCCGAGTGGCGGATGAGGACGATGGGCCCCACTGACGCAATGTAGGTGCTGTCCAGTCCAGAACGGAGACCGGTTTGGAGTCCAGGAAGACGAAGAGATCTGAAAGTTGCCTAGGAGCATGTAGCAGGAACGAGGATGCATTTTCCGGATAATTACATGAAATGGCTAGCCCCATCGATTAGAGGCTCCTGCAGAAACTATCTTCTCCTGCAGAGTGCATCTAGACAAATCGTGAAGGATTTGAATCGATGCACCGTCAAAGTAAAACGGACCAGATTCCCACGCTTTTCGTAGAATCATCTCTTTGACAGAATAGAAATGGATCCTACAGAGGTTATCTCATGGCGTGACAGTGTCAATGCATACCCGTTGGACGCGGTGGACTCAATCGAGCTCCAAGTCCGCCAAAGGTTCTCTGTCAAGGATCTGGTTCAGAATGGATTTAACAGTAAGTCGTAGCTCCGCGTTGGAAATGGATTCCGGGATACCTCACAGTCTGAGGTTATTGCGTCTACTGCTGTTTGCCAGGTCATCCTGTTGGAACACCAGGTCAATCAGGCACTGATCATGGCTGGCTTTGGCTGACTCCAGTTGTGTCACGCGGTTTTCAAGGGCAGCAGGTGAAGTAGCATTAGAGTCAACTTGGTTAGAGAGAGCAAAGATGGAAACTCTCACCTCATGGAGTACAGACCGGAGAAGCTGTTGCAGTTGTGAGGAGAACTGCAGCCAATCTTGTCTTGTGAGCCGGGCCGCCAGAAGAGCCAAGGCTTCGTGCTGGAACGGCGCGGCCCCTGGCCTCAAGTTGTTCCCGCTCCGCATCTCCCTGCCGTCATCAGTGTGCCATTCCATTGTGTCCTGTGTTAGGTCCCCCGCCAGGTTGGGACCTTTGGAAGGCGAGGACGGAGGTGAAGAGGAGGGTGAGGAGGGAGACTGCTGCTGCAGCATGCCTGAGAGAGGTATGATGAGATCACCCGGGGATCGTGTGGAGCCAGTCGGAGACGGCGCCATGCTCCTGGGCCCCGGAGATGCCAAAGAAGTAGTTTTCAGCGTGAAGAAGCGTGACACAGGCGGCTTGATCGACAAGAGGTCCGGCCTGACTTCTTGTTCTTCTTGGACATAATGAAGAGGGTAAGTAGTGGTGGTAGTGGGTGGAAACGGGCTTCTGTAAGACTTTGGGGTAGCAAAACTCCAGTGAAGTGCGGCTTCACCCGGCCATCACCAGGACCGAGAATGCAACTTTTAATGACTTCTGCAGTATTAAAATGATTCAACTCCTTCTTTGCAAGCATCTTTAGTAGCACCCTTTTGTTGTTATGACCTGCTGCAAACGAAATGCACAGCCAAACACCAGTTTCTGGCAGTGTTCCTGAAAATTTTTAGCCCATTCATGAGCAATGGCCTCCAGTTCACTAATATTCTTGGGTTTGCATGCTGCAAGCGCTTTCTTTTTAATCCCACCACACCAGAGATTTTCTATGAGGTTCAAGTCAGGTGACTGTGATGGCCACTGTAGAATCTTCCAGGACTTCTTCTGCAATCATGCCTTGGTGGAATTTGAGGTATACTTGGGATCATTGTCCTGTTGGAAGATTCAATGACGCCCAAGTTTCAGCTTCTTTAAGGATGGCCTGACGACTAAAATTAGTCCGATTTCACTGCACACTGTAAGATTCTCAAGCTGAGGGTTCATGAGAGGAGTACTGAAGCAGGGTGCTGTGGGGTTTCTATGAAGCTATGTACAGCACCCTGCCAGCCCCTCCCACCAGCCATGATCTGCCTGCTTTGCACAGAGAAGCACAGAGATTCAGTGATGAAATCACTGGTGTTAAAATAAGGTAGTTAATAAAAATGGAAAGCTTTAAGCAAATCTTTTTCCTATGTAAAAAAAAACTACTTTATATATGTGTATATCCGCGCTTCTAATCTATGCCCTACCTTATGTGATTCAACCTAAAAAGTGATCAATTTAAACAGCTGCAGTGTATTTCAGTGCCCCACTGCTTTTAACCATATGGCAAGTAACACACCCGCAACTTATACTTAATAATGTGCATTCGTTAGAACACCGGCCCAAGTGGCTCCGTCGGCTAACGAAGGGGGAGGAGTCCGGTGACGTCGATGTCCGTGACGTCACCGGATCTCCGGCGGACTCCCGTAAGACCCGGAAGCCGGCGGAGAGGTAAGTTTTCATTTTTGATCAAAAGAAGTTTAATCGATCAAAAATTTTAACGATTAATCGAGAAATGAATCGTTAATTTCCGCAGCCCTAATCCATACCTAAAAAAATTTGTTTTGAATAGAATGGGGAAAGGTTAGAACTCCTCTCAGGCACTTCTGGGATTCTGCCCTAGTCGGGAATTACGTCCCATTAGCCTGCACAACGTTGTATACTCCATAGAGCACCCAAAGCCACCTGGGATGCATGATGTCAGTATCCCAGGAGACTTCAGGGTGCTCTAAGTGCATGCGCTGTGCTGCTCATTCTCCTTAGCAATTCCACTAGATGTGTCGTAGTCAAGCATTTTTAGCAATTTTGCACACAAAGTGTTTACATAGCTTAGTCTTTTACCAATGATCTGTAAGCCCCTTACACCCCTAAATTCACCTTGCTTAGTAACACTGAGAAATATTTTTTTTCCTGCAGAGTGTTCAAGCCACAGGCATCTCAAAGTACAGTATTTGAAGAAGTGCGACCCCTTATTACATCCGTATTAGATGGGTAAGAAAATTTTTGTAAACCAATCAAATATTTATATAGGTCTGTTACCATTTGGCTAGGTAATTTAAACATCACACCTGTGCTGTGCTGTCTCTGGATAAAAGGTGTATGCATGGAAGAATCATAAATGGTGTTTAAAATTTTGGGTTGCAATAATGGTAGCAATAAATTGTGCAAGCATAGCAGTGGAAAATACTATCTGTATCTTTAGTCTGAGGTAACATTGGTGAGGCTACACAAAAAACATTTTTAGACTTGATGGAGTAAACGCACACATGAGCAGTAGCAACAATTAAATGATTTGCTATTACACTGTTTTGTCTTTTGCCCAAAGATGCTCCTGCCCATGCACAATTTTGTCCATTATTTTTGCCTTATCCAAATATGCTGTAGCACAATTGCTGATACATTTCCATTCATACTGCACCTACACAATTGCTCCCCACCCTGCTTTCACCATTGCACCTGTCCTCCATCCCCACCCCCTCCCCTAACCACTGTGCCCCAATCCAACCTCCCAGTGTACCCAGTGATATAATTTCTGTCAATGAGCAGTCTGTGCTGAGTAACTTCATTAAATGTTACATGTACCTTATTGACTGCTGCCACTTGATTGTGACCAACCCTCTATCTTTTGCTGTACCTGCATTGCTGGGCTATGACATAACTACCAAACTATCCAACATCAGACCACCTGACCTCCTCCTCCCATCAGCACCCTCCTGAACCCAAATAAGGACCAGCCCACTCAGGCGTGCCCTGAGACCTCAGGAGAATGTGCTGCTGCGATGGTTGGTTGTGTTGGATGGTTGTCCAGGAAGAAAGAGACACATGGCGTGGCAAATGGTGGACATCATCTCTAGTAAGTAAACCTGAAAAGCCTAAAGTAATCTCAAAAATTGACTGACTAAAAATTAACAAACTATATCCTGGGGCACAATAAGTATGGCGTAATTTATTTGAGGGTCAGTCACTCACTTCTGGACTGGTAATGCTGGGATTTGTGAGATTTGGGCAGCCATCTTTTTTAGTGAGTAAACCAGAAAAGCCTAATGTAATTTCAATCATTGACTTACTAAAAATGTTATAAAATATATACTGTAAGAATTGTCTAATTTGTTTTGGGGTCACTCACTACTGACAAGGGGATTTTGTGGGAACGCTGAGATTGGGACATACAAGAAGAAACACTAGAGGCACTAGAAATGTCCAACTTTAATAGCAATGCCTTAACTAATTCACTGAAAAATATTAACTATATCTTTTTTATCTGTCTGATAATTTGATCATTCATTTGAGGGTCTTTCACTCGCACTTCATAGACATTTCCAGAAAGGCCTTTTTTCAGCCACACATGAACTAATGTTAGATTCCACCTGCTGGATGAATATGTCATTTACAATCGCTGACACAAGTGTAAACCTGTACAGCATGCACAATGGAGCATAGAGCTCCGCATGTTGGCTGCAAATGAATTAAGCTACTATTTGCAGTGTTGCATGTTCACATAACTAATATACATTTTTTTTTAAATGTTGCAGTGAATCTGCTTGGGCTTGATTTGTGGGTGGGTTCTGTGAATGTGTTAAAAAGTTTGCAATTTGAGAGCAATTAATACCCCATAGAAGTCCATGGAAAGCACATTTTTAAAAACTATTTTTCCATTTTCAACAGGTAGAGGATAGTCAAATAAAGATGAACGACCTGGGTAGCTTGCAACTGCCAGTGGTGACATGCACCAATGCAAAAAAATGGGGGATGCTACATTAATGTACAGTCTGTCTGCCCTATCAATAAAGATCCATTTTCCCCTATCTCTCTGTCCATGCGCTCTCCTATTGGGCTTACCCAGTAATGCCTTGTTCACACTTGATGACCTCATTACAAAGTGCAGAGGGCACAGCAACCATGATTATATTACATTGCACTGCATCACAGGTCAGTAGATGCACTAAGTAAATAAACAGGCAAAGTAATTATCACATCACTACACACTTTGAGTCCTCCGGTACAGGCATCTCCTCGCTATCATTAACTATTTAATTGCATTTAATGTATGAAATTAACTCCCCTCTATCTTTAATGCATGAAGTGACACACTCATTGTTAGGAGAAACTGTTGCTGCAGTTTATGCTGAGCCAGCACATGTCTGTAGTGAGAAGACCAGTATTTTATATTAAACATACTGAAGAACTCTGAAGTGGCAAATCAATGACTGCTTTGGTAAAACAGTATACATCCTGAGTTTTCTTTGGGTGTCCCCATGGAAACACTTTGATATTTGATCTGAGCCTTGTATGCTCAGCTCAGTGCACAGGCTCAGCAAGGTGCTGTGTCAAAATGACGTAACTTCCATGCGCATGCTAAGTAGTTATATTATGCCGGCCCAGCCAATCAAGAGGCTGAAGACACTGAACCTCAAAGAATCAGCTGAACCCGGCTAAAGATAGACAGTGCAGAGCTGGAGGGGATTACTTTACAAGGTAAGTCGGCCATAACGTGCTAATATACTCACACATTATGGTGAAAAACTTCAGAGGGCTTTTTTCTCTAAGACCACTTAACTTCCGCTTTAAGAGTAGTAAAGCTATTTAGCTATTGAATAGACTAATTTGTGTTAGTACTTTGTAGCAATAACTCCCTGCAGGGAGCCGCTGATTGCCCGGTCCTCATCTAGTCAGTCTAGGGGTTGATTTTTTCAGCTGCACACATTAGCACTAACCGCCCATAAATTGATGTCCACTTCAGGATTATGATGCTACTTGAACAGTTTATTGAACATACTCTGGGAGAGAGGGTATAGGGTCTAGGTGTACAGGCCTCCTGAGCTCCAGACTCTCCGGATTTTATCTTCAAGGGAATACATCTCCACAATCCATGAAAGAACACTGACCCCACTCTGAAGTCCATCCAAATCCAAGGCACTTCAAGGTCACTGGTCCTGGTTCTTCCATCTTTCAGGCATTTTCCTGACAGTAAGCCTCCATGGAAACCTCTCCTTCAGCAGCTCAGCCAATTCCCACCCCCAGACCTCGGCCTAGCCTGGGGGCAGGCTGAACAGGACCCAGCCCTAATCCATGGCTGGTCCAGGCGAGAGAGAGAGCATATGGCAGCTACCACCCATATATGTACACTTTGTCAGCAGACACCACTGGCTGCAAGAAGCCCAGTGACTGGCTGCTGTACTGTACACATATCACAGCGTCTCCTATTGGCTGTCCCCCAATATGACAGAGTCTCACTCCGCCCAGGGGGGTACAGACAAGGTTAGACACCTGGGAATTAACCATGTAACTGCTTCTACAAATCCAGCCAGGCTGTCTACAGCCGTGGCACATCACTAAATGCATGGTAGTCACATCACAAAAGGTGATGGGCGCTACAACTTCATAAAAGATAAGCATAGTTTTGAGACAGTCTTTTATAACTTTCATAGGTTCTTTTAAGCTTTGCAAGTGCACTGCTTCGTTGCTTTGCCTTATTACATACATTATTACATTTAATCAGCAGCATGCATTGAATTCCACAGATCAGATATATTGCCAGTAATTTCCTTTTTTCGTTGTTTGCTTCATAATTATCTTTTAGTTTTATGCAATTACCCTAGACTTTGTCTAGGGCCTGAAAATAAAAAAGAACTCTCCATTTTGATGAACCTGATGGTGATGAAACTATGGGTCTGTACAGCTTAGTTTTTTTCCTCTATGGCAAGAAAACTCCACAGCATATACAGCAAAGTGTGTAGTGTGTAGATGACTTTAGAAATCTGCCTTATTGTTCCGTTTCACATGCCAATATATGTAATTACATACCCCCTAGGACCCTTTTTGTGCAGACAGCGTGGTCACCGGCTGACTTGGCAGAATCCAGAAGCAGCTTTAGGCCTTGTTCACACCTGACCGTTTTGTAGCGCGTCCTACGCTCGACGAACGCTCTACAAAACGGTCAAAAATCTAAATAGCATTGTAGTCAATGGTCTCGTTCCCACCTGTCCGTATTTCCGCCCGTCCCTACCGCGCTACAAAACAGCCCACGCCTGAAAAGGTCCAGGAGCTTCTTTGCGGCGTATTGGGCCGTTTTGTAGCACGTTCGCGCCCATAGACTTCAACGGGAACAGGCGAAATGAGTGTTTGAGCGTTTTTGGTCGCAGAAATCGCGCATAGAACGCGTGTTCCGCACATGGCTACAGACCACACCCATCTTGCAGAGAGCTGTTGCAGAAGACAAGATGGAGGATACAGCAACAGTAGGCCTGCTAGATTCTGAGGCCTTCATACGGCTGGTGCAGGGAAGGCCATGTCTATATGACATGCGTCATTCAAATTACAAAAACAGACGCATCAGGCAACGTGCATGGCTGGACATCGCACAAGCTACGTGGCCGGATTGGGAAACCTTCCCAAAGCAAGCAAAGGAATCAAAAGGTACATTAGCAATGTTTTTATGTGTTGAATATTTTCTTGCAGAATGCATGCACTGTTGTTATGCGTCATGCGTGCATTGTTTGCATAGACTTGTGTTCATTATTTCCGTGTAACATGCGTGCATGTCTGCTATGTTTTCATGCAGAATGCATGCAGTGTGTACTGACATGTGCGCATTTTTTTCTTGTGACATGTGTACAGTGTATTTATGTCCCATGCATGCAGTATTTTAATGTGACATGCGTGCAGTATTTTAATGTCCCACGCGTGCAGTATTGTTATGTCCCATGCGTGCAGTTTTTTTATGTCCCATTCGAGCAGTATTTTTATGTCCCATGCGTGCAGTATTTTAATGCCCCATGCGTGCAGTATTTTAATGTGACATGCGTGCAGTATTGTTATGTCCCATGCGTGCAGTTTTTTAATGTCACATGCGTGCAGTTTTTTTTATTTCCCATGCAGGCAGTATTTTAATGTGACATGCGTGCAGTATTTTAATGTCCCATGCCTGCAGTATTTTAATGTCCCATGCCTGCAGTATTTTAATGTGACATGCGTGCAGTATTTTAATGTCC